GGAGACTCGCCTGAGCCCAGGAGTTGGAGGTTGCTGTGAGCTGTAATGCCACGGCACTCTACCCAGGGGGACAGCTTGAGGCTCTGTCTCAAAAAGAAAAAAAAAATGGTATCCTACTGTCACCCTCTCCTATGTCTTTGGGTTCTGATCTGCAGTGGATTGAATCATGGATGCTAAACCCACAGTTCCAGAGGGTCAACTACACATTGTTTCTCAGCATCTCTGACTAAGCTCTATGTGAATTGCTGTGAAACATTGTTCCTCAGTGTCTCTTACTAAGCTCTATGTGAATGGTACCTATGCTTCTAACTATGCAGGGAGCCCAATTTGCTATAACCACTTTATAGACACAGCAGCCAAGACTTAGAAAAGGTAAGCCGTACTACTGATAAAGGTCAGAGACAGAATTGACTCCGAAGCCCAGAATCTTTGTATGATACTACACCATGCTGCCCACTCTAGACAACTGGGAAGAAAGGAAGATCAGGGCAGAGATTCCTCTGGAGAATATACTAGATTCTGAAGGAGATATTAAGGTACTATTGTACATAAACCACATTTCTTAATCTATTCAAATGATACAAAAAAATACGTATGTGCTATCGTTTGGATACTTGTCCTCCCAATTTCACGTTGAAATTTGACTCCCAACGTTACAGGTGGGTCCTAATGGGAAATGTTTGGGTCTTGGGATGAATCATTCATAAATAGATTAATGCCCTCCCTGGGGTGAGGGGAGTAAGCTCTCATTCCATTAGTTCTCAAGAGAGATGGTTGCTTAAAGGAGCGTGGTGCTCGCTCTCTCTCCCCCTCTCTCCCTCCCTCTCTGGCCACGTGAGTTCTGCACAAGCAGCTCTGCTTCACTTTCTGCCACGAGTAGAAACAACCTGAGGCCCTCACAGAAGCTGAACAGATGCCCGTGCCTTGCTTCTTGTAAAACCTGCAGAACTGCGAGCCCAATAAACATCTTTATAAATAACCCAGCCTTGAGTATTCCTTTATAAGCAGCAGAAAATGAACTAAGACAGCATGTAAACCCAGCTAGTGCAGTCTTGCAATGGGACTCTATGTAATAAACAAATGAACTATTTTTTTCTTCTCAGGTGTGGAACTCTCTTTAATGACTTGAGAAGTTATCCTTTATGTAATCTTGGTGGAAGGTAAAGCCTCTGATGGTAAAAGTAGCTGACCAAGTTTTAGGCAGCATCACCAGCTCTGGCATCCAGTGACTGATGTCATGGTAGTGAAGACGAGAGCTATGATGTCTGTCATGTAATAGTACAGACGGTGGTGTCTTTACCTTAACCAGTTTGATGACATGATTTCAGGAGCTGTTTCTTAAATGCATGCCTCTAAGTCTGACTCTCCACTTTTCCTTCAAATAAATTCATTTTCTCTTTAAATCAATCAGAGTAAGTTTTTGTTGCTCACAGTTAAGCAGCCTCACTGATATAGACATTAGAATTAAAAGGATCAGCCCCTAAGAGAAATAGAAGAAATCAGGGATGGGCTATCTAATATGATTAAGCTAGAGTTGAAAACCTACCTTATTTAAAGGATTCTGATGCAAGTGATCTATTTCACATAGTAGCAAAAGTTTCTTAAATTATCAACTGAATTCACCTAGAGTAACAATCATTGAAATCAAGATTTTGGGTGACTGAGTGGCAGCTCAGAAACCACCTTACTGTGAAAGTTGTTTTCTGTGGAGTTAGAAAACTTAAAGAAAGAGAATAATGAGCTCAAACTTCAAAATTCTCAGCTCAAAGTACGTATAAACTAGGGACTCCCAATGCCTTCTGAAACAGACATACAAAAAAAAATGACAATAAAAAAAGAAATTTCTTATTTTTCGCAGTTCACAAGTTTTATCTCGTGGGTTGCCAAATTACAAAATCACTTGAATTTATGCCTAACCACTCTCTTTTTTGAAAGCAAGGGCATCGATTATAACAGAGAAGGACCCTGATGACTGAATGGAGATAACATGGGAGAATTCAGATAACTTTAATGTGCCCCACATCCCTCAAACTCTATGTTGGTTTCTCTTGCAAAATGAAGGTATTGGTGAGGTTCTTACTACCTCGATTAATGTCCTGTAATGATGTAGCCTGAGAGTGTTGCCTGGAAACCTCACACTCTATGCCAGACCCTCCCTCATTTTCTCTCAATACAGTCAGATACCAGCACTCCTCAAGAGGCCAATAAAAACGGCACACTCTGAAGGAAAAGAGCCGCCCATCACAGGAGTTGTGAGATTCTGCTAATTCATAAAAGCAGAGATCTGGGGAATATGTGTGGAGAGAGATTCGGAGGATGCTAAACCCAAGAGGGAAAAATATAGCTTTAGATCAGGCTGGATTTATTGATATGAAGGAGTTACCCAAGATTTTAGACTCAGTGTGCTCACTTGAGCAGTTG